GGTTTTTGCTCTGTTCTGAAATATCGGAGTGGGAGCGATTTCGCGCGGGTCACCATGCAGCGCTTCGCGAATACCAAGAAAAAAAAATCACGATCGAGCCCTGCAGGGAAAATGGGGAGTCACAAGAAGCTCGGCCTAGAGCTACCTCTCTTTCTTTCCACATTGCGCCATGCTCCCTAAGAAAAGTTCTTCTTTACTTCAAGCATGCCGGGAATCAGATCTTCATTCTCCACTTGCACGACAGCGCAACACTCCTGCTGCAACGACCGCCACGCATCCAGGCAACCTGCGCTTAAGGCTGAGACTGTCACACCAGAAACGTTTGATCGTCAACACGTCCACGATCATCGATAATTGGAAAACAGGCCATATGGGCACCGCCATCTTGTAGTCGTTAAGGCGAGTGTTTCATGTTCTTGTATAATTCGACGTCAGAAACATATATGCACTAATCCAACCATTTTTATCCCTATGCGTCCACCATAACACTGTTCATTTCGTCGTTAAGACGCGAAACAGAAAGGTGAACAGCCCGGCATGGCGGCACTGAAACCTCTGAGTGAAATATAGTGAATTGATGGCCGCATTTCCGTGCGCTTTCCGAGGCCATAATTTCTGTTTAAATGTGCGAGTCACCGCAACCTTCGCTTGGGAAAGAAAAAGATAAAAGAAACTGTAACAAGTCACCAGGACGACCATCTTTTACAAGTTTACGCACGCTTGTTTCCACGCTATCAGCACCGCCTACGAAGGGATCTACAGTGCATAGGACCCAATTTCAATGGCCTCAGTATTCAGGGCATGCCTATCAAAATATCCGCGCAAGGGCATGTTTGCGTATAAATCGCACTCTTGCAGGAGAGCCGTGCGGCCGCCAGTCCAACCCACGACATCGCGTACGCGCTTGCACAGCCTGCGAAGCCAGTGTTCACTTTGTTCGTGCAAACATTTATTCGCCGATGGGGATCGTCAAAATGATATCGAGTCAAGGAAGAATGCAGCGCAGGATATACTCAGTTTAACTACTTTGGCAACATTGCAAAAAGAACACAAAAAAATAAACACTCTACACTGACAACGCCTCGAATTTCTCAGAACTAGAGATGCCGTGGCAAATACGTTGTTTTCAGAAAGTTCTCACGTCTGCTTGTCGATCCATAATAAAGCACGTCAAGTGAAGAATAAGCAGGCATTAATTAGTAACTAAATACTGGAATTATCACATGCCGAAATTGCGATGAGTCGCTGCGTACAGTAAGTGCTTCCGGATTCATTTCGACGGTGTGGGGTTCCGCAACTAACCTATATGTATCCGATTGTTTTGTTTACAATCTCGACCACATCGAAATGCGGCCGCCACGGTCGGGAATACTGCCGGTGTCCTCGAACTCACCAGCGCTGCACTAGAAAAGCGTTAGTTACCTGAAGGGTTATCAGCAATACGCGTATTGCGATGCATTGGCGCGGTATATCCCTCCGAAATGCATGTTGTAAAGGGACACTAAAGGTAAACATTGGTTGTTGAAATAGCGGTGATGAAACCTCGTAGTACTACTTTCGTGCCAAGGAAGAAAATAAAATCACGTTTTAATAGCCCGCACCAGGTTAGCGCACTTCAAGTTACGCGCCTCAAGAGGCGGACCAACTAACGACACTGTTGCCGTGCACAAAGTTGCCCGGCTTTACCGCGCGGTCACCAACACTAGTAGAGAGAACGAAAGGACCGAGAGCCACAGCAGCAACACATTGATCAATTTCCTCCCATTGGCTCCGAGATGGCAGACGTGTTTAGGTTCAACTGCGCCCCACTAGATGGCACGACTTGTCCAGTTCAACCACACGAAAATGAATTTTCGAACCACTCGCGCTATTCCCCATATTAAAGTCCAGCGGTTCTTTTTTCCATCAATCAAACATAAACGAACAAGCAGCCTTTCATTGCATCTCTTGATGCACGGAAAGTTATATATTTAGTGCAGCTAGATCGATTACTAACGATTAATTGTAGGCGGTTCGTCTGACGTCATCGGTATCATTGGAGAACGCCCTACTGCGGCGCATGTATTCTTGTACATTTACCGTAATTTCTCGGCAAGTAGGACACTGCTGATGATAACATTGTCGTTTTAGATGTTGTCATACATTAAGCTTTCACTCTGTGCGTAAAATTTTATTTGACTTTGGTGTCCCTTTAACACTGTTTAGTGTATCACACGACATCTCCTGTGAGTAACCTGCGTTTCTGTGACAGCTTATATCAAAACGTGACATCCTGCTTCTTCGATACACAGAGACCCGATCCCCGTCACGGCTGTCGCATTTCCATGGAGGCAAAATGGTAGACGGCCGTGCGATGTCGACAGTGCACGTTAAAGGAACACAAAAGAGAAAAAAGATTTCTCCAGTATTAGTACAGTACAAATTCACAATCCCTGAAACACCACCGCATGGCGACACTTGACATGCGAGAAAACGCGGGAAAATAATATGCGAGTGGAGACGCCACCTTGATATTCCCGCACCAAACACCGTGACGTCAAAGATTTCGAAGGCGTCTACTGGGCCCTATAGCTTCTGACCGATAAAGACGAAGTCCATTGTCATCTGTGGATGCCGTAGACCTAGCAAACGAAGTTTCACAGAATTTCAACAATGGAATGTCGCGAAATACGAAAAATACATTTCGTAACTATTTGACGTCACGTGCGGAGATTTTGGCGCGAAATTTAAAATTCAAAATTCAGCCTTCATTGTTTACCGCTAATAACAAATTTATTTTAGCGAGAATTGTGGCATTAAATATCTGAGAATGCAGTTTATTAATCTAAACCAAGAGACTGTTATTCTTCAGTTTCCCTTTGATCGCAGAACGTGGGGGTACTTTTAATCAAACAAAAAGTAGTCAATAAATTCAAATGACAAAATGCTAATTCCCCAGGTCAGAAGCGTTATCAATATGACTACCCAGCTGATATGCAGATGCGGACATACCATTCAATTGTAAGAACTTTTCCTCGCAACCGATGCATTTCTAACAAAAAGAATCGACCGAAACAAATCAAATATGAAAAACTCAACATTTGCCGTTATATCTTGTCGGTATCAGGATAGCACAATGGAGCCACCGACGACTGTCAAGGATGCATTACGGACGCCTTCATAAGCAATGCACGCTCATTTGATAGTGCCCGATTTCCTAGATTACGAACACGTTTCCGATAATGCCGGTCCAGACTCGTACGACAATCTTATCGGCGAACGGAAACAACCCTTTTTCAAGAAAGATCCTTTTTCATTAGCCGTACTAGCCTCAGTAGCAGTGATGATGCAATCGTATGCGGATCTCGCACGGTGCACTTTCGATCACCATCGAGCCCGATCCAGATTGAATTTCTCAACCGCAATTGGATAGTTTTTTAAGCTTGCAATAATAAGCCAATCTCAAGAGAGAATCAATCGCCCACAGTTTGCAACCATGCATGAAGTTTAGAAGAATCGAAAAACACATAACCTAATTTCTTTCGTGCTCCTTTTGAACAAAAAATCAACTGTCACCAGACAATCTCGACGTTCGGACACCGATGGTCGATATAAACTGTTCTAGGTGTTAGATCAATTTTCAACTTCACAGACTCTCTTTACGTTTTTTTTTTTTTTTTTTTTGCTGTAGCTTTATTTTATTTTTTGATATCGTGAAGCCGTTTGTGTTCAAGTTAACATTTGGCGAGAATCCTATCAAAATTCGCTGTATACTACGCTTATTAGTAGACGCGATCGCTACTGAAACTTACTCGCGTGCGTTGTAATTATAATCTGAAGTGTACATTTGTGCAGTGAACGCCGTAGTCTGCCAATACGGGTCTTCAGTGTCCCAGTAAAACTGCCAATAGCAGCTTTACGAAGAACAAGCAGAATATTCTGATAAAATAAACTTTTTATTCGACTGAGTATCCGCCACGTGCACTTGTCACGAAGCACGTCGAGCAACTGCGCACCCATTCGAAGGCTCGAGAAAGAAAAAAAGCACCGTCATAACTAAAATGACCAACGCGATATCCTCAAAATCTTATCTCTCGCAGAGCCAACTGCGAATACAGTAATAACATGAACGATCATATCGCTGCTGCTATCGAACCCACTTCCTCCACGTTCGCCGGAGTTCGAATGATAAAACAGAAACCAATATCTTCTGCTCTATCGTAAGTGCGAAACGTTTAAACGCCGCCCCATTTTAACGAGCCACAGAAGATGCCAGAGAACTTTTTCGAACACAAGGGCTACATTTCGTACTTGAGGGGTCAGAAAATGTGTTCAGAAACCAGAGCAGACCTGGAAGAAAACTCTGCTGGGCAGCAAGGTACCATTTCTAAGAAACAGGCTCAGACACGGATATTTCGCGACACAAACCAAAACCTCCGAGTGAGGACAAACGTTAGCGCTGTTCTGCATTTGCGATACTATCATGAAGGTCTCCCGACTAGCACTACTAGTGGGTCCTCTTCGACAAAGAAACGAATTTTGATTTAAAGAAAAAAAAAGCTAGACGTTTCAGCGCGCACAAAATGCTGTAGGCCTAGCGGAGCGCCTTTCCCCCAAGGCGCCAAGTTCGCGACGTCCGCGTTCCTGCAGTAGAAAAAGAAAAACAAAAGGCAAGCACGCAATCGCAGGCTGAGTGACTGGTTACTTGGGGCCATCCAGTCTTGTTACCCACGGCAGCAGCGACAGTCCGCGAGCGTGCAATTATTCGTCAAACGACGAGGTAGAGCCAAACGGTGACTCGTTACGAAATCGCGCCGACGAAAACAGGAAAGACGCATCGTTGCGCTGTATTCAGTGTCGGCTCTACTTGACGAACTAGACTGCAAGTCCTTCCAAAAAAAACGGCAAGACAGCTTTGGTTTTGGATCAAGGCATTGCAACCGCGCAAAAACTACGCAGTCGCGAAAGCAATCGACGCGCCGAAAAACGCCGATCGGGTCGGCGCAGCACACGCAACTCACCTTGTAGACATCTCCGTACGTTCCGCTGCCGACCCGCTGCACCAGTTCGTACTCATCCTGAGGGTTTCGCCGCGATATATCCGTAGGCGACAGGGATGCCATCATAGGAGGCCAGTCAGCTCAGGCATGGTGCGCTCTCACGAATCCATTGTAATTCCTCCGAGAATATTTGCCGAGCGCGCTCTTCTTGGGAAGCAGTCGCGCAATAACGCACGATCACTGAGCGGGTCAGCACAGAAAATAGAAGCACGGTGTGGTGGTTCACTCAAAGGCCACTCATCGCACTGCCCGTTAGATTTCTTTCACCGAGCACACACAAACGCACTCCGATAACCTCCGTCGTCGCTCGGGCACCTCCTGATGCTGGATTGACTGACTAAACGGATTGCCTCGTTTCGGGCTTGTCTCTGAGCTTGGCTGGGCTTCCGGTCCTACGGTAGCCGACCACTGTGCAAGCAGCGGCCGGCACTACGATCGGCACTGTGGAATGAAAATTGTTCCCCTTTCCGTGGCTGGATAGGAATTTCCTTTCGATGTCCCGGTGAGACCAGATCCTGCTCTCCACGGCGCACGTTGCAGGAGCTAGCCACCAGCCGAACGTGCTCTGCTGGGTCTCGTTTTTCTGGGTAGCAGCCGCCTCCCATTCCGAAACAAAAACAAAAGTGCCAATTTGTGGCTTAGTTGCGACTGTGTCGCCCTCTAGTTTTTCACAACAAAAGGTGTCTATCTTTTCGTGTTACGTCTGTCTCCACAGACTTAATAATAAAAAAAACAAGAAATATTTATTAGCTAGCATTTTGTTTTATTTTTCACTTATTAAGGTTTGCAGTTTGCGACATTGTTTCGGCCACCAAATTAGCTGCGTTCTAGCGGCGGCTTTGCTGTAAGGAGGTCACATGACACTAGTTTATCGTCTGCAGCAGTAGCACAAAAGCGCAGGTGAAAGTACTCAACAAGCTTCAGTCACTTCAGTTCTCGAGTGCTCAACGGTACGCAACACAAAACTCCACACGCAGCATGGCGCCCACTATCAAAAAAGTTGCCATATTTGGATCGACCGGTTACACTGGACAAGCGGTGCTTGATTATGCCATAAAGAAAGGTAACGTGGGACGTTTTTCTGATCACTGAGACAACATAGTTTCCATATAAGTCCAGTCATTGCTCGAAGAGTTCGCTTGTTTTAAATGCAGAAATACTTGTAAACGTTGCTTTTGCCTTGTTAGTGATCGCTGGGGCAGGCTTTATCTGAGGAAAATGTGTTCTTGCGATTTTGTTTCTATGCGCGTCGTCCCGATTAGCGTTCATTTTCGCTTGTTTAATCACTTAATTGACCTGTTACTTCCAAAAAGCATACTGCGCAAATTTGTTCACAAACTGCGTTACGTTTTCAATCGCTACATGACCTCGACCGGCGCACTTATGTCACTTATTCAGGACGTACTATGCATGCGCCTGCCTGTGGCTGCTTGGATGCCTGCGTAGAAAATGAATCGGGGTATATAAAGCGTTGTTGCGGCTCAATCTAACTCTTGGCTCGCATGCACCATTTTCGAACGGATTAATAGCCTAATAGTAAAAATTTGATATGCCGCGACGTACAGTAGTGACGCCCACTTGCTTATCATCGCACCTCGAGGGTTGGCGCTGCTCTTTGTCCAGACTTGTTGTCGTGTAAAGGGACAAACTTTTCGGTGGAGCAATCTTATACTTTAGTCATGCTACTGTCGCATAATCGGACCGTATGCGTATCTTGATAGAGCCTCGATCTCCATTTCATCGTTTCCATTCGCAAGCGTTGTCCATTAGGGAGGCGTGGCCTTGTTTACAGCGCACAGAAATATTGTCGGTTTCGAGATTGCGCAGATCCAAATCTTGGAGGCAATGTCAGTGGGGTACCGGTTACGAGGAAATTTCTTTCGCTCCGTCGCGGCGGTGGTGGCGTTGTCGTCGCCTCTTCTTGAAGCGTGCGGCCGGTGTGGCGTGGTTTGTGAGATAAACCGCCTTCGTGTCGGCAGGTATTCGATTGCATTGTATTGATTGCACCGTAAGGAGAGTTAAACGGCGGACTCCGTGCAGATAGTACAGAGAGAAAAGTCTTTCGCTTCCCAACCACAATGGTGGCAAATCTGCTCGTCCGCGCGCTGCAGCGACCAGCCGCCCGCGTTGGCAGCTGCTACCGTAGCGGCGGCGCGTGCCGGTACCTCTCCTCACAAACTTCTTCCGCCACGTTCCCGACCACGTCGGACGAGATAGTGGTCGAAAAGCTCACCGGTGAGCGTTCAGGCATCGCCGTCATCGGCTTCAACCGACCGCGGGCCAAGAACGCAATCGGCAAGGTCTTCCTCAAGCAGCTCGAGTCGACCTTGGACTGCCTCAAGTACGACGACTCCCTCCGAGTCCTCATCGTGCGAAGTCTCGTGCAGGGCGTCTTCTGCGCCGGCGCCGACCTGAAGGAGCGCGCCGCCATGCCCGTCCAAGAGGTCGGCCCCTTCGTGGCTCGACTCCGCGGCGCTACGGTCGCCCTAGAAGAGATGCCCGTGCCGACCATAGCGGCCATGGATGGTGCCGCCCTGGGAGGAGGACTGGAGTTTGCCCTGTCCTGCGACCTGAGGGTGGCCTCTAACTCGGCCAAGATGGGGCTCGTGGAGACCACCCTGGCCATCATTCCCGGTGCCGGCGGGACCCAGCGGTTACCGCGGGTCGTAGGCAGAGCCAAAGCCAAGGAACTCATATTCACCGGTAGAGTCCTGGACGGCGAGCAGGCGGAGGGCATCGGACTAGTAAACTACGTAGTGGAACAGAACAAGGAAGGCGACGCCGCCTTTCAAAGGGCTCTCCAATTGGCAGAGGAAATCAGGCCGCAGGGACCGATCGCCCTGCGGATGGCCAAGCTGGCCATCAACAAGGGCATGGACGTTTCTATCAGCAACGGGCTGGACTACGAGAGGGCCTACTACGTGCAGGTGACGCAGTCAAAGGACAGGGTAGAGGGACTCACCGCCTTCAAGGAGAAGAGGAAACCCAACTATGTGGGGGAGTGATGCGCTACCCAGGTGTTGACGTGAATAAAAGAACCGGTATTCTTGTTTCTGTTAGGTGTGTGCTATGTGCATTCCTTTGTTTGTACAGTGTGCATATCCAAGATGGTGCAACCATTATAAACTCTCCGCGACTAAAGCCCAAGATGAACGATAGCGTTATCGGCAGTATACTACAGTGTGATTGAAAGGCCAATGTCGTGTGGTCATAATATACTGCAACATGTGACTGCATAGTAATCCGGTGCAAACTCTAATCTACTGCAGATGTTCTGTCATAGTTTGCTAATCTGCATGTTGAGAATACATGCAATTCCATAATTGGAAAGTTTTGACATGTCCTGCGTTCCATTAGGTACATTGGCTTTACAGTACCCCAGGCATCGGTTGACATTTTGTTAACCACTCTCTTTGAGATATGTTTCTCCACATGTCTTCACGTCCCAAAAGCATCAGAAAGGCAACTTGTTCATTGTTGTGCAACTGTGAATAATTTAAGGTGGAAATGAAATAAATGCTCTCAGTTTCAAATTTTGTATGCCATCACGGTTGCTCACATATATAGCTACTGTAAGTGAGTGCGTAAACAGTAATAAATTTGCAGGCAGACTGAACCTGTATTGACTCCTCACTTTGCCTCACGCATTCAGCGTTACCTACCCACAGGAGCATTTGCAAAGTACTTTGGTTTTGTTATAAAGGCAGGCCCCATAACTCAGAGTTGTCAAAAAGAAGAAAGCCAATATGTAGGGCTGCATCTGCTTCCGATGTATTGAAAAAAGAATGAACTGGCATTATGGCAAACTGCTGAGATGTTGTGACACTTGCGATTTTTTTTTTAAGTTAATTTGTACCTTCACACAAAGTGTGAACTAAAATTGGTTAGGCCAGCTTTCATGCCATAGTTTTTTCTTCTAGACATGCTTCAAATACAAATCTAAACCAGCTGATGCTACTTGTGATCAATTTTTATACTAATTGTAGGTTCAAGATAAGATTAATGAAATTTATGCAGGAATGGGAGAAGGGCAGAGTAGTGAAAGGTGTGTGTTATCCCTCATCTAGGATGTTTTGGGCTGTATCTTAGAGCATGGCTCATCGCCACTTCATGTCGCTAGTCATCAGGTGCCAAGTTTGCCAAAAAGAATAGAAAAAAAAAGAGGAGCACTAGTGTCTTCGACTGTCAGCATCACAGTTTGATGTTGAGACATTTAATCCTCAGCGGAGCATCCTGAAGACTGCGAGTGGTGAATCAAGAATCAATGAGAGGAGCACGCTTGATTTACATAGAGATGATGGTGGTCGCATGGACCTCTCCCAGCTAGGAATGCTCATCTACTCGAGTATAGTTATTGAAACTTGGGTTTTGCTAAAACAAACCCGTGAGCCACCCTTCCTGTGCCTCTGTTCAGAGACTCTACTTGCGAAAACCCCTTTATAAGAGATGCACACCTGTGTGCAGTTCTTGCCCGAAATAATAGGTGTTTCTTAGAAACAGGGTACCCTGTGCGATTTTCTGATCAATGCCTATTTCACATGTTGGGGCGCAGTGGTGTCTGTTATTGAACAGTTGTCTTTTTGATCAGCGTCGTCATAAAGGTGTTTCAACTGTAGTAAGTTCTCTAAATTAGAGCTGGACATTTATTATTGCTTGTGGGGGGCACCTTTCGATGTACAGTGACACTTTCACAATCTCCAAGAATTTTTAGCCGAGGTCACCAAAGATCGGGTTAGAGAGGGGACAAGATAGGCATAAATTTTGACTGCTGGGGCGCTTCCATCTCGATTCAGTGATTGATATGTGGGGGTTAACCTCCAAAAACCATCATATGATTATGAGAACGCCGTAGTGGAGGGCTTTGGAAATTTCGACCACCTGGGTTTTTTAACGTGCACACCAAATCTGAGCACATGGGCTTACAACATTCTTCCGCCTCCATCGGAATGCAGCCGCCACAGCCGGGATTCGAACCCGCAACCTGCAAGTCAGCAGCCGAGTAGGGCACTTGCATCTCCAAATTAAGGCTTGGCAATGAGCATTACCAACTAGCCCAACCTGCGTCTTTTCACGCGACCAACATTTTCCTCTCTGTCTTATTTTTGTTCTCTTTCCCACACTCAAATACGAGTGCCACACGGTCACTCTTATGACAGTTGGGGCGAATTTGGACAGCATTTCTTGATTGTGATCAACAATACCACTGCTGCATGGTCAAATTTAATGTTGATGTTTAATGTTAATGTGCAGACATCACTCAAACCACAATATGGCTGTGCAGCGTGAGATTATCTTCATCGTGATCGGGGTTGATTGCATAGCCATCTAAATGCTTTCCTGGTTCGTGTTCTTTCTTTTTCATCTACTTTCTTTATTGCAGGGTACGAGGTGACCGTGCTCGTAAGGGATGCCTCTCGGCTGCCCAAGAAGATCACGCCTCACCACGTGGTTGTGGGTGATGTGCTGAAGAAAGAGGACGTCGACAGGGCTGTCAAGGATCAGGACGGTGTCATCGTAGTCCTCGGCACAAGGAACGACACAGTGGGTAGCCTTTATTCTTGTTTCTGTGGCAGCAATGTTGCCACAGTGGTGTTGATTGTGAGATTGGCTCTTCATGAAAGCGAAGGCATTATGGCTGCCAGCTTTATAAAGGTGTTAGATTTCATATCAACTTGAAAATTGACAGTCAGCATTGGCAGTGCCAAATGGCACAAAACATTGCCAAAGGACGATCAGTGAATTCCCCAACTTTGTAACGCCATAGTGAAAATTGCGTTAAATAACTGTCTTTGCATGACATCATTACTTGGTAAAAGGTGAGCCAATTAAGGAGGCAGTGCAAAACTAAGTGCAGAAATATCTTGAAGGGAGGCGGGAGAGGACATTCGTTTGTTTTATGCCATGGTCCATGAAGACTTGAGTGTGTATTTTCGTCACGGACATGATGAGAAAATGCGCACGATCAGGAAGGAAAGGAATAAGTTTCGTCATTGGAAGTTGACTCACGATTTTCGGGTTTGTGACAACAGAGGCCGAGCATGCTACCCACTGCACCATAGCTACATGCACTTGAAGCTTTACAAATGCGCCTTCTATATCTAGCGTTGTCCTTTCACAGTGCTCTAGGTAATTTGAAGTAATGCATCAACCGTGAGATCTGATTAGTTTTTCAGCTTGTCGTTTCTGTGCGTCCCTCCCATTCGTCGCGTTTCCAATAGAAGTGTAATTTTGTCAATGCATTAAAACAACCCCAGAGTTTGGCGTCCGTTTGGTGACTGCTCTCCTGGCTGTCCCACAACTTCCTCCGATTCTGCTCTCACCAATAACTACTACAGCTACCCCAAGTGTCTATGACCTCAAGGGTTTGATTAATCATTCATCATGGACGTTAGTCATTGGAATGAAGATGTATCTCTAAGGATAAACGTAGGTTGTTATTGTTGACACGTTTTTATTCACGTTTATGCCCTTGTAATGCTTTGGTAAATGTAGGGAGAGAGACGGATTAAGTAAAAGAACACATGAAAGAAAGAAGTGTGCTCACATTGAGCAGTGCCATAGTTTTTCTTCTAGACATGCTTCAAATACAAATCTAAACCAGCTGATGCTACTTGTGATCAATTTTTATACTAATTGTAGGTTCAAGATAAGATTAATGAAATTTATGCAGGAATGGGAGAAGGGCAGAGTAGTGAAAGGTGTGTGTTATCCCTCATCTAGGATGTTTTGGGCTGTATCTTAGAGCATGGCTCATCGCCACTTCATGTCGCTAGTCATCAGGTGCCAAGTTTGCCAAAAAGAATAGAAAAAAAAGAGGAGCACTAGTGTCTTCGACTGTCAGCATCACAGTTTGATGTTGAAAGACATTTAATCCTCAGCGGAGCATCCTGAAGACTGCGAGAGGTGAATCAAGAATCAATGAGAGGAGCACGCTTGATTTACATAGAGAGGATGGTGGTCGCATTGACCTCTCCCAGCTAGGAATGCTCATCTACTCGAGTATAGTTATTGAAACTTGGGTTTTGCTAAAACAAACCCGTGAGCCACCCTTCCTGTGCCTCTGTTCAGAAGACTCTACTGCTAAACCCCTTTATAAGAGATGCACACCTGTGTGCAGTTCTTGCCCGAAATAATAGGTGTTTCTTATAAACAGGGTACCCTGTTGCGATTTTCTGATCAATGCCTATTTCAATGTTGGGCGCAGTGGTGTCTGTTATTGAACAGTTGTCTTTTTGATCAGCGTCTTCAATAAAGGTGTTCAACTGTATTAAGTTCTCTAAATTATAGCTGGGACATTTATTATTGCTTGTGGGGGCACCTTTCGATGTACAGTGACACTTTCACAATCTCCAAGAATTTTTAGCCGAGGTGCACCAAAGATGCGGGTTAGGAGAGGGGACAAGATAGTGCATAAATTTTGACTGCTGGGCTCTTCCATCTCGATTCATTGATTGATATGTGGGGTTTAACCTCCCAAAACCATCATATGATTATGAGAGACGCCGTAGTGGAGGGCTTTGGAAATTTCGACCACCTGAGGTTTTTTAACGTGCACCCAAATCTGAGCACATGGGCTTACAACATTTCCGCCTCCATCGGAAATGCAGCCGCCACAGCCGGGATTCGAACCCGCAACCTGCAAGTCAGCAGCCGAGTAGGGCACTTGCATCTCCAAATTAAGGCTTGGCAATGAGCATTAACCAACTAGCCCAACTCTGCGTCTTTTCACGCGACCAACATTTTCCTCTCTGTCTTATTTTTGTTCTCTTTCCCACACTCAAATACGAGTGCCACACGGTCACTCTTTATGACAGTTGGGGCGAATTTGGACAGCATTTCTTGATTGTGATCAACAATAACCACTGCTGCATGGTCAAATTTAATGTTGATGGTTAATGTTAATGTGCAGACATCACTCAAACCACAATATGGCTGTGCAGCGTGAGATTATCTTCATCGTGATCGGGGGTTGATTGCATAGCCATCTAAATGCTTTCCTGGTTCGTGTTCTTTCTTTTTCATCTACTTTCTTTATTGCAGGGTACGAGGTGACCGTGCTCGTAAGGGATGCCTCTCGGCTGCCCAAGGAGATCACGCCTCACCACGTGGTTGTGGGTGATGTGCTGAAGAAAGAGGACGTCGACAGGGCTGTCAAGGATCAGGACGGTATCATCGTAGTCCTCGGCACAAGGAACGACACAAGTGGGTAGCCTTTATTCTTGTTTCTGTGGCAGCATGTTGCCACAGTGGTGTTGATTGTGAGATTGGCTCTTCATGAAAGCGAAGGCATTATGGCTGCCAGCTTTATAAAGGTGTTAGATTTCATATCAAACTTGAAAATTGACAGTCAGCATTGGCAGTGCCAAATGGCACAAAACATTGCCAAAGGACGATCGTGAATTCCCCAACTTTGTAACGCCATAGTGAAAATTGCGTTAAATAACGTCTTTGCATGACATCATTACTTGGTAAAAGGTGAGCCAATTAAGGAGGCAGTGCAAAACTAAGTGCAGAAATATCTTGAAGGGAGGCGGGAGAGGACATTCGTTTGTTTTATGCCATGGTCCATGAAGACTTGAGTGATGTATTTTCGTCACGGACATGATGAGAAAATGCGCACGATCAGGAAGGAAAGGAATAAGTTTCGTCATTGGAAGTTGAACTCACGATTTTCGGGTTTGTGACAACAGAGGCCGAGCATGCTACCCACTGCACCATAGCTACATGCACTTGAAGCTTTACAAATGCGCCTTCTATATCTAGCGTTGTCCTTTCACAGTGCTCTAGGTAATTTGAAGTAATGCATCAACCGTGGGATCTGATTAGTTTTTCAGCTTGTCGTTTCTGTGCGTCCCTCCCATTCGTCGCGTTTCCGATAGAAGTGTAATTTTGTCAATGCATTAAAACAACCCCAGAGTTTGGCGTCCATTTGGTGACTGCTCTCCTGGCTGTCCCACAACTTCCTCCGATTCTGCTCTCACCAATAACTACTACAGCTACCACAAGTGTCTATGACCTCAAGGGTTTGATTAATCATTCATCATGGACGTTAGTCATTGGAATGAAGATGTATCTCTAAGGATAAACGTAGGTTGTTATTGTTGACACGTTTTTATTCACGTTTATGCCCTTGTAATGCTTTGGTAAATGTAGGGCGAGAGACGGATTAAGTAAAAGAACACATGAAAGAAAGAAGTGTTGTTGAAAGAAGAAAATATACTTTTTTGTTTGCAACTTGTTTTGCCAAAGCAACATGAGATTGTAAATGTTTTGTATGCTTACAATTTTGAGCTAAAACGTTCCCTGTCTGTGACTAAAGTGAGGAGTGTTAAAACTATGCGTATTGCTCGTTTTCGAAGTAAGAGAAGTGTTTAAATATTTTCTCGAGTTGTCATTCCCAGACGAGTGCACCATAGAGCAGAGTAATATTGTTACTTGAAAGAGGGGGAGGGGGTAAACCAATGTCGACGCATGAGGCCAGTTACCTTTGACAGTTTTTCCAGCAATTAATTGATGTGATTATCCCAAAACAAGTTACTGGGGAAAAATGTGTCTAGCGTTTTGAAAGTATTTACAACTTCTGTTCCAGAACTACTGAGTAATCATCGGGTGACTGCACAGCATTCGTTTCGCGAGTAAAACAGAACAGCCTTAGCTTAACTGATATTTAGCTTTAGATCATTATCAGTAGCCCTCGAGTGAATCTGATGAATTCCTTCGTTCACCCAATTCGAGAGACATGCAACATTGAAGCCAGCGAAACAGGGGCTAGTATCATCAGCGTATAACACATGATTTGCTATATGATCGATGTTAATGTCGTTAATATAAAGAACGAAGAGAAAAAGACCGAGAATGCTCCCTGTGGTAGACCTACATTGGCTGGTTTTATTGAATAAGAATGACCATTCAACATAACAAATTGTGAACTATTTTTCAGATGGGATGAAATAAGCGACAAAGCTGTTCCTCGAATACCAAAGCGCTCCAGTTTTTTTAATTAGTATAGTATGATTCATAAAACCAAATGCTTTTTTGAAATACAGAAAGATACCAAAGACCAAGTTGAAACATTTCAAGAATTATTTCTTTTTGAAGTGTCAGCTCAGTAGACCTATCCGTTTTGAAAACCGTGCTGCAAATTTGTTAAAATGATGCATCGGATAGTGAATGAAACTAATTGGGCCAAAGTCAAAACCATTTGAATACAGCGGCAGAATGGAGATTGGATGGTAGTTTCCCGAAATCATTTTTATCACCTTTTTCGTAGATAGCTGTCTCCTAAGCACATTGCATCTTACTTGGAAATACTGCACATGAAATACAACTTTTAGTTATATATGTTAAGCATGGCGCAATTAAGTAGATAACAAATTTTACCAGCTCAATTTGAAGCTCCGCATTATCTGCAGCTGTACTTTTTTTTAAGGCTAAAGTAGTTTGCAATAATTTCTAATTCAGATGTAGCCCACAGAAACATTGTGCTCGCATCGTGGCTGCATGTAGAGGAAGCTGTCATTTCTGGTTGATAATGGATTGTCGCAAAGAAAGGAATCGTTAAATGCATCTGCTTATTTTTCACTGGAAATTTCTAGATTTTCTTTTACTATTTTAGTAATATGATCAGTTCCTCTGCCTATTATCATAGTTTGTTTCTGCCACATGTCCCCAGAGCTTTGGCTCGAAGTAATGAGCTGTTGATAATACCTGTTTTTAGCAGCATGTAGTTTTTTAGTGATATAATTCCTATGTTTTTCAAAGTGACTAAGCAAATCAAGGCATCTAGTTTGAATAAATTTTCTATATAGCTGGTCTCGTTCTCATATCAGAAGTGAATGTTTGCTCGTTATCCATGGCTTACGAGCTGGTTGGTTAAATTTTTTTAGGAAAGCATGCATCGTAGATAGGCGTAAATCATCCTGAAAATGTGTCATAGGCTATTTCTCGATCGTCGTCGCTAAAAATATCAACCGAAGTTTAATGCGAAATGTACTCACGAAAAGTGGTTAGATTTTTAAAAATCTATATGATGGTTACTTTAGTAAAATATGAAAACGCTTGATGCTCAAAGACAATTTATCCGCCCAGTTATCATTCTTGAAATGTACAGTGATTATTGTATGGGCAATGTGTTTAATAATGAATAAGAAAATATACAAGAGACTTAAATGATGCATTAAACTCCAGAAGTCGTTTGGAATATTTTGCTATCTGCTCCGAAAGCACCAATAGCTGCTCCAGGCTGGCATTTTTTTTTTTTCTGCACCAAAAACAGTCAAGGCTGCTCCAAAGCACCATTTCTCCTGCTCTATAGTGGGCTTCGAAAATCTAAATGTCACTTGCATCACTGTCACAGCTGTGAGTATTGAGAGGTAAAAACAATGGTTTTTCCTCTGGAAATGAGAAATTGCAACCTTTCAAACATTCCATGTAATGTGGTTGTCTTATTTCCAACCGGTTGTTTATGGCAGGACATATCTGCCGTGCTCTAATGAAACAACAGTGGATATGTAGGCCATTCACTTTACTAGGAACGCAGTCTGTGAACCGCATTTGGCCTGCCAACATCTTAGAAAACTGGGATATAAAGTTGACGTTCTAGTGAGCCTAAATCAATATTGAATGCGATAGTAGGGTGGCCACAATTCAAAAATGCAAAATTCAGCCACTCCAAGCTGGCCCCAATTTCTGTAAGCACTCCTACTACTAAAAGTGCCTTCATAGCACAAGTTGTCTTGCACATTTGTGCCTTTCCATTTAGACATTGATGAATTTGCTCTTGAAGTCACACCATCAGAAATTCAGAAATGGTTTTATTTTGTCATCGAATCAATTACAAAAATTTGTGTGTACAGAAGGAGGTCCCATAGTCAGAGACTCAATCGGAACCTCCTACAGTAGTGAATACAGAAAAAATTAATTGATGCAGCAAACAGCAGTACAGGAAACAGGTAATGAAATACATCCCAGGTAAAAACGAAAAAGGAGTTCTACTTAAGAAAAACATAAGCAGAAAGTAGCAACAAAAAATGAAGTGAGACAACATAAAAAATATAAGTAATTCAACTCTCCTAAGTAGTTTTCAGGTAATTATTATGGTGAAAGATAGTAAAAATAAACTACGAGAAAAGAAAGCTAAACAGTGACATCTGATATGAGCAATGTAGGATGATGATGTGGTGCTTCGTTAACGTTAGGTTGTGAGAAAGCATGAAAGGGAGCGGGAGTAATAGAAGTCGCCAAAACTATCCAGATAATGGAATGGATGAGAGGAAAGTCTTCATATCTTTTTTGAATATGCCGATTGATTCAGAGTTCTTTATTTCTGAAGGTATAGTATTTCAGAGATGGATTCCAGTGAAGTGGGCTGTTTGTTTGCCATAGTTAGTATGAACTATAGGTAAGATAAAATTGTGATATTGTGCAAACCTTGTCAAGTTTGTATTCTCTAGACTAGATGGAGGGAATATACACAAGGGAAGCTGATTTTTTATTTGCTTGAAAACTAGTATGCCTAGATTATATTTGAAAGTGTTCCCGACTGTTAGGATGTTATTGGCATGCAGGAGTGCTTTAGCATCCCTGCGATAATGACTGTGGGTAAGAATTCTAATAGTGATTTTGCATAGTTTGAAGGGAGACAAGATGACTGCTGTAGGTATTGCCCCAAGAAGTGATACAGTAATTAATATGAGAATGAATAAAAGCGTAGTACAATGAAAGTAATGTGGGTTTGAAGCCAGTAGGCTCAAAATTTTGTAGAATTGAGACTGCTATTAGTTTCGCGAGCTCAACACAATTTTATTAGCATCAGTTTACGAGTTGATGTTCTTTTAAGTTATGTAGGAATTCATTAATTTGTCTTTGTTATTTGCTTGCGTGAACCCCTTTAAAAGAAAATTAATCCTTGTTCAAAGAAATGAAACAAATTTGAACTCTCACTTTGGCGATTCTTCACACACTCTATATAGCCTATTTCTGCAATACAGAGCTGCGTAAAGCTGCCTACTATCTTTTAACGCAAGTGCACTAAGCTGAACATGTGTGCCAGTTTCCTTTACACTATCTCTGTAAATTTTCATAGTGACACTGATGAATAGAGCAGCCCTTCAAGGTTCCATTCTCTAGTTATGATTTTCCAGCTGTCCTGCAGAGCCTTTCATCGGCACAATGCAGGCATTTTTGCAGTGTGTGCAGCGTGATACAGTGTGCTCTGTAGCTTTATAGCCCACAGTATAATGTGCAAGGTTAGCATCGCTGCATTGCTCTATATAGTCAACAAAATAAAATGCAGTAGATGCTCATTGAACGGAACCTGAAGGGACCTGGAAGATAGGTTTCGTTTATTCATTTACGGAGAGATGAACAGGGGTGCAGAATGCAAGTACAAAACCAATCTTATCAGAAGCTTTGGTTAATTTACGCCGCAGTTTCGTTTGAGAGATTTTTCTTTAGTGAGAGTCTACTGCAAACAACACAAAAGCAAAACAAAACATGTGTGTCTGTGCACAGAAAAGTGACACCTTTCTCGTGCATGTTGTTCACCCTAAATTGCTTCATTATGACACCTCTTTTGTGCATGTTCTGTTTACCACAAATCACTCTGGCTCAAAACCCTGTCAGTGAGATTTTTTCTTTCTTTGTAGACACCTTTTTCCTCAAGGCACACTAACGCAAGGAACTCTTAAAACCATGCAAAACACCAGTGAAGCAAACAAGCTTCCATTGCAAGGGGTTTCAATTTTGTCTCCACCATGCTAGCCGGCAGTGCCTTCGGATGTCCCAGTCTATCACCGCTTAGCGAAGAGATCACTCAGGCTTGACACCTTGGGTCAATGATAACACTGCTCCCTTTTCGCACCTCTCCATTGTAGCCACCATAGGCATAGCGAGTCAGACTTGCCCTAGGTAGGTAATGGCTCAGAATCAAAGGCACTCAACTCGAATCTTTGCATATCACATAGCTTGTGGCAGCATACTACTAAGGCACATAAAAAAAAGCTCAAGGAAAATGCAAGTACAAACTAGGCAAGCAAAAAGAAGTCCAACTTCAGCCTAGTGGCACAGATTTGACTTTTTGGAAATGAGTGTGTTGTTCCATGCTTTGTGCAGTTCAGGTGTCTTCCCGGTATTTTTTGGGGCGACGCACTTGTGCACTGCAATCAGTAGTGGCATACAACCAGCTGCCCGCAACCTTAGCTCTTATATCATGCAAGTTGTTACAAGCAGTGGCTTCTCTACGGTTAACTGATAAGACTTAGTATAGGAAAAGCTTTTTAATTTTAACCCTGTTAATATGAATTTACAGTTATTCCGGACTGATGCCCTTGCCTCAAAGTAGCCCTGTGTATTTCTATAGGACGAAACTTTCAATAACTCAAACATATATCTGTATTTACAATGGTTAATCCAAACTGGCACCCCTTGGCATTTGTCGCTCTTGCAGAGGTCTGGCATGCTTGATTAAACTGTATTGCGAAACCAAACCAAACAAAATTTACTAGAGATGCAAAACAATGAAACAGCAGCATTTCTCAGTAAATGAGAGCTCACACGCTGTGCTGGGGCTTTTGGGCAAGCTGAAAACAATACTCATGGAGCCACGACACTCCATAAGCATTGTCCTATCGTGGCTCCATGAGCATTGTTCCATGGACTGGGCACAGCAATACCGGGTAATCTCGCGCACATTTGAGGCCGCGGTGCCCCAAGGAATCCCCGCTGACCTCCTTTAAGCAGCGTAACCGACCTCTGGGCAGGTCCCCTCTTTTGAGAGAAATAAAGTTTTTATTATTATAATCATCCTGACAGAAGCAGCACTAACAAATGCAAATTGCTGATTACTTTCAGTTATGCTTGCGTTAACCCTGCCTTGTAAATGTATGCCTTTTGGAGCACAAATATAGTCATATGTTCTGACATTAAGGCTCACTACTAAAATGAATGCACGTTGACGCTTGTTTCTGTGTATAAGTGACTGACCAAGTAATTCTGTTCACAATTGGGGCGCCATATGCTTAGCTTACAAAATCAGGTGTCAAAAACCTGTAGTAATGCCTAATATATAATAACGAGCACAGAAGAGACTCCTTTGAGTTCTGCCCGCATAGCATGGGGTTCATTGTAGAGCCTGCCCACTTATTCCAACTCCGCTTAATTCGAGCAATTTTATATTTGCTTTTAAGTTTGCAATGATGAGCTCCTATTTAATCCTAACCTGACTCCCTGCTTCAGCCTTGCACTGCAAGTTTTATGCAATGAAAATTTGTGATTGAGCAGCTAAGTGTTCTCTGAGATATGATTTATTTGAAATATTGCTTTGAGACAGCTGCCTTTTTTTTCAGGCCCCACAACAACAATGTCTGATGGACTGAAACATATCTTGCAGTCCATGTCCGACCTTGGAGTGAAGCGGATTTCAGTCTGCGTGTCATGTGAGTTGTCATGTGCTGTGTGCTTCCCTACTGTAACTTCAATAGAATGCGAGTGTTTTGGCTTTTAGAACTTTCTGGTCACCTAGGTGCTTATGTAACCCAGCAGGGTCATTTAAAAGGGTCCTGCAACATTTTCAGAACACAGTCGGAAAATACTGATAATTAGTAGTCGAGGTTTCTAAGAACAAGAGGAAAACGTAGCTCAGCACACAGCCTGCAATTTCCAAATGATTTTCAAAGTAAGCTAGAAGTCATTCTCTGTTTTCTCGACAAAAATGCCATATACCCATAATGACCAGCTAAAAGCATAATTCCCATGACCATTAGCTGATTTGAGTATTATGAGCTGCATAGTCTTGCTGCAGTCAGTGCAGGATGCCACGGTGTGATTGCACACACTCACAATCGCACTTAAAGCCATGCATTCAAAGATAAAAAAAGTGCTCAAGGTCGTGATACATGCTGAAAAACAGACTTGCTTTCTGGCCCCCTTGTGATTCCAGTGTGCTCGCGGAATAGATTCATGTAACTCTGCTATCTTTTACTTGACAGATTCTAATAATTTTTGTGGCTGTCAATTTATGAGGCCGTAAACTGTTTTGATGAAGTCATTTGATGACTGCTTGAAAATGTTTTGCAGGGTCCTTTTAAGAGTTCTTTAAGTCAGATTGAAGTTAAAGTGAGCCTGATTGATAACACTTCATTTTTTATTTTACCTTCATGGCAGATGAGAGATGCCTATTGATCAGATAGACGTAAGAATTGAAAGCTAGAACTTAAATGTTATTCGTACAAACTATTGGGTTGCAGTTTGGGATCGAATGCGAAAGTGTACTCGCCCACGGAGCAGAAACCTGGAGGTTCGCAAAGAGGGTACAGCTTAAATTGAGGCAACGCAACGAGCGATGGAATAGAAAATGATAGGTGTAACCTTAAGAGGCAAGAAGAGAACCGAGTGGGTAAGGGAACAAACTAGGGTTAAGGATATCATCGTTTAAATCAAGGGAAAAAAAATTGACATGGGCTGGGCACGTAGCACGTAGGCAGGATAACTGCTAGTCATTAATGTTAACTGACCGGATCCTCGGAGAAGGATGAAACACGAAGGGGAGACGGGAGGCTATGTGGTCTGATGATACTATTAAGAGTCACAGCTTTGCCGCAAAGACGAAGCAATGAACGCGATAGCAACAAATTGGAAGGTCACGCGCAGAATGGTAAGCAGATCGAAATGTGTCCCGTGTTTCTCACGCACAAATGATGCACGAAACGTACTCACAGGTACAGATGCACGTGAATAAGCGTCTCCAGTTGTTACTTTGCTGTGTCTAAATAGTGCGCCCTTTTCGCAAAGGGGACTGCAATGATTGCAGTGGACTTTGTGCGCCCGTTAACTACAAGAAGATCGTTCCAGGTAAAGCCCAAGGCCAACCAAAACACGCGATCCTCCCCTCCTCCCCACCTTAAGATAAGGGCAGGTGAGGGAGGGTCATGAAGGAGGGCCGCTCCCCTCCTTTAAACAGGGCAAAGTACCCATGGGAGATTAGACATGCACTCATTGCACCATCTTGCTGGTAATGCTTTTTAAAAACAGGATAGTTCCCCCCCCCCCCCCCCCAAGATGTTCGGGAGGAGCGGTAAGTGGTAGAAATAAATAGCTTGCGGTTTGAACGCTGAAGGACGTTCTCCACGGTGGCTCAGTGGTTAACACCTTGCATTCACAATTGAGAGTACCCAAGTTCCATCACGTATACATATACGGTGAGTGAAGCAGACGCTGGTGGTGAAATCCAGCCGAGAGTGTCCATATAATTTCTATCGCAATAAAAGTTTGCCGGTATAACGTGGCAACGAAAAGCACAAGACCATATTGATTGGCACATCATGGAAGAGGCCTTTGCCCTGGAGTGGGCGTAGTCGGGCTGATGATAAATTTTCTGAACAGGGAGAAGTTTTTTCACAGACTATGAAATTTCCAGGATGCTAAACCACATCCAAATCAGCATTTGAGGTGTGATATGTAATGAATGTGTGGGATGACTGCCAGGTTTTCTCGCCTCTTACTTACTTCATTGCGGATGTCACAAGAGGGCACTTTATTTTCTCGAGAAATTGATCAGCACAAGGGGAGAAATTCAGCCTTGCTGGCAAGACATTGGGCTGTATTTAGCGCAAAGTAGTACAAGGACTACAAGAGAGAACATTGTGTTCAATAACATGTGTGTCCTCAACAAGTCTGTCCTCTTGTTGTGTCTGCCCTGCTCGTCCTTGTGTTACATTGCCCTAAATATCGCCTAATGTTGACCAGCAGTGGACCAAACAACATGGTGCTGGTATTTTGTACTAAAAGCCTTATGTAACCGATTCTTATCCGAGGTTGACGTCTCTTTGTTATAAGTGCTGACAGGCATCTAATTTATCTTGGTCATCACAAATTTATTGCATCCTGTGGAAAAAATACTATAGTGATCATCTTAAACGGGTATGTGCTATGGAAATGGATAAACTCCACCACTGGTCTACTCAAAATGAAGGCAATAGTTAAACTAACAACAAATAGCTGGCCCCGCCGCGGTGATCTAGTGGCTAAGGTGTTCGGCTGCTGACCCACAGGTCGCGGGATCGAATCCTGGCTGCAGCGGCTGCTTTTCCGATGAAGGCGCAAAGGTTGTAGGCCCGTGTGCTCAGATTTGGGTGCACATTAAAGAACCCCAGGTGGTCCAAATTTTCGGAGCCTTCCACTACGGCGTCTCTTATAATCATATGGTGGTTTTAGGGCGTTAAACCCCACAAATCAATCAATCAACAACAAATGGCTGTAAAGCGACCGCAGTAATCCCAAGACTTGGAGTACGTACAATGAGAAAATACTGCCTAATAGGAAGGGCAATGACGGCTGTGAGAAAACATCATAGCGATGGAAAGCCTATGCCAATGACAACGTCCTGTGCATAGGTGCGAACGCTTGGTTTTAGGGGGAGGTTCTGCCTCTGGAGTTACGACATCTATGTTGTGTCTGTGACCGTCGTTGGGGTTGACTTAAACCTATGGGTTGGTAATCGACTTAACAACCTAATCACCTAACAATGACCTTGAAGCAACCAGAATTATCTCTGAAACTTCCAGCTTCATTGTTTCTGGGCTCTTGTGACTTAATGCAAGCTATGCAATTTGTTTTTTTTGCTTTTTCTTAGAGTGTCATGTGTTTAACTTGTTAGCATAACGCTGCACACAGCCTTCCTCTTCTGGGAGCGTGCCAAGGTGCCACCAAAGATGGTGCCGTTGACGGAGACCACGAGCGCATGTACGAAGCACTCAAGGCTTGCGACCGCGAGTGGGTTGCCATCTTTCCTCCGCACATTGCAGGTACGATGTAAAATATTGAACTTGAGTCCTAACAGTTGTGGTGGGCTTGCTCCTAATCAGATGGAAATTCAGCACCACTACAACACTTGGGCATTATCACATACAGCGGTTCTATATTTGCTACATAGTCTGTCCACATTCATGATAAGTGCTCACTGTTTGTTGAGCACTGCTATTGGTGAAAAAAAAAAAACAGAAATAAAATTATATAAGTATAGGCCTTATAAACCTTTAAGCTTCACTTTTTTATTTCTAATAAGGAGTTAGCTGTATCTAGGCTTACGAAACTGAAAAATCGACTGCCCTGAAATCTGCTTGTTTTTTCTGTATGCATATATTATTGACAACTCGGTGGGAAAAGGAAAAGGATTCAATTACCTTAACTCAACAGTTGCTTGCGAAGTGCAATTCTGCTGTGCTGTACTAATTCTGGTGAATGGCATAACAACATTGTTAAAATGCGAAATAAAGTCGCTTAGCATCAAAAGCTTTCAAACTGAAAAATCTCGAGAAAATTTAGTCAATTGTCTACCTGTTTTTTGATCATATGCAGTAGCACTATACTACAGTGCTACTTTGTTTGCATACTATGGCTCTATGTCGTAGTACAAGCCGGAAATCTAAATCCCAGGCTTCTGCTGTTGAGTGTGAAAAATGTGCAGCATATTTATATATCCTACCACCTGAAAATGAAATGGATTGGAAAAGCGTTCAGTAAAAAAAGAAACAAAGGGGTTTCAAGAGCAGATGGATGGGCCCCAAGGTAGGGGGCGCCACTGGTCTTGATACTTCGGGTGACGGCTGTGTATTCATAGGCATACAGTTACCCACGTTAGAGAGGGCCACAACAAGCCTGACGGCAACCCCTAATTTTGCCTCTGTCTAAAAAAGAAACTCTGCCTTGCTAAAACTGCAGTGAAACATGAAATTAAATTTTATATTTTACTGCAGTTACAATGCTATACTCGGCAACTATGGCCAAATACCTTCAGAAGTTATGTAATGCAGTTGGACACAGTCTGAACAGTTCCCTGCAAAACAACAAAATTGTACGGTTCCTGCGTGAGGTTCCCTTTTCCACATTTCATTTGAAACCTTTTTGCATTTGTCCCAATTCGTTTTAATATAGAAATGTATACATGAGCTTCCATGTGCTGCTCACAAAATAATAAAAGCCTCTACACTGCATTTGTCTCTTCCCTCAGCTATTAGTGAGGACGTGTACACCTTTGACCTTCCCTTCCCTTTGCACAGTACACACCTACTGGCGCATTGTCGTGGCAACAAGACAGTTGTATACACTTTCAGTTGCAGTGTAAAACCTGGCCTGTCGCAAGGCTTGATTGCATACAATCGCAGACCGATTTTCCGGACCTGGCGAGAACCACAGGATAGTCCGAAAAATCGGAAAGTCTGAAAAAATGGTCTAGCAGTAAAAATTCATTCATTTATTCATTCATTTGTTCAGACTTTATTCAAGACATTTTACGATTGTCTTAGGAGATGCAGCAAAAAGCGCGAAAAGTGCCTAACTAGGCTACCTCACCCACACAGCAATTACGGAAGTGCGTGATGTCATTCAAAATTTAACATAATGGTAATAGCACTTGTATAGTATATAATAAAAGAAAATTTTAAAAATTGCGCTTGTAGCTTCGAGAAGAAAATCCAACAGGAAAACAAAAAGCAACGAGGCAGTTGTACAAATATGGCAGTGTCCGTTAAAAAAATGGTTCTACAATATACATTGCACAGCATTTTACAACAGTTCAATAAATAGCTGAGCACTACACCTTAAATCTTGGAAAACAATAGTTCTTTTACTTGCTTTTTGAATTGAGTTCGGGAGATTCTACTTTACAGTGGGTTTATTATACCTGGGTATTGTTTTAAAATGTCTGGTAATAATGTCGTCATTCGTTGTAAGCCGTAGTTTGTTCATGATCTGGATTTGACAATTTTATTTTTACATACTTCATAGTGAGTGTAAAATGAAGGTAATTTTGATAACAAAGGCCTAGAAAAAATCCCAATAATGCCATGCTTCACGCTGTTTTTACGAACGAGCAGATTTGGTTCTATTCGAGCTACGTAACATCGTTGGCAAGCGCTTGACAATCGCTGCCACCAACTGTTCCGGGCGAGATATCCAAGCAAACAAAACTTGATGGGAGTCGCAATAAGGTGCATGCAACTTCTCGCCTGTTTGGTGGGATCGAACAACACGGTCTGGGTTACTTTTATCTGCACCGACACCGCATAGTAACTGAGCCTTTAGCATTTCGCCACCATCAAAATGCTACCGTGGCGGCTGCCATTGAACCCGGGTGTTCCAGGTCAGTAGGGGAGCATCGTGGTCACCCCCTATAGTGCTGCTGAGCAATCGCGTGTCCAAAAAATTTGACGGGCACTGCATACTATGTAACCAATTTAGGGTTTAACATTCCTAGCAAAATATGCCACTGTGGCAGTTTCAGCGTTTTTGGCACATGAAGCCCTAGATATTATTACGAGTGACTATTTGTACTTGTTGATTTGGTACACACTTGAACACATTGTACAATACACAAACACGTAGAAAAATGGGTAAGCCTGTCTTGCCTTCTCTTTCTTTTTCCAATCTGGGGCCACATGTGCTCAAACAAATCTTTAACCGCTTATTTGCATGTTTTCTTTTCATAGAGAAAGACGTGACATACGCAAGATAACTGCCATAAAACATTTTTCATGACATTGGTGAAAAACTTTTTGCCATCTTCTTTCGTTAACTTAGTTGAACAGTGCAACCTGCCCCAATTGCACCTGAAGTTTGCAGGATCAAATCCCAGCCATGTACACTGCATTCCAATGAAGGCTTGAGGCCCTTGTACTTACGTTTAGGTGCACATTAAAGAACCTCAGGTGGCCTAAAATTCTGGAGCCCTCCCATAGGACGTATCTCATACCGTATTTACTCGCATAATCCTCGCACTCTTTTTTTGCCAGAAAACCGATGAAAAGTTGGAGGGTGCGAGAATTACGCGGGGAAAACGTTCTACGAAAACGTACACAGCGAAAAAGAAAACGAAGTGGCCGCAAATCAGGATTCTCACACCGGCATCTAACAGCAAGCTTTAAGAAGTACTAATTAAAAATTACCTCAACAATAAAAGCAGAGGTTCAACACAAGACAAGATTTATTCGAGACACAAAAAGTGGAAGCAAATAGTGGAGAATTAGAATACCATACGCAAAGCTTGTGGACGTTGCGGGCGTAGCGGTAGCGCTCGTTGCTGAACAGGAGCCCTCAAAAGGTAAGCGTGGGACGTCAGTACTGAGCTGATGGCTATTCAACAGAATTGTCCGCAGTTTCTTTCTTAAGAAATAAAGTTTACCATCAATCCCAGTTTTGGGCACACTGCAGGCCCAACGCATCTGTGTGGCTTTCAGCAGCCATTACCAGTAGCGAACACAAAACTCGTAGACTCCGAAGGGCCTACCGGCGGCCCTGTTGCCATTCTTTTGTGCATGATCTATCACTTGCAACTTGAAAGCAGCCGTACAGCTTCAGTATCGCCTCATAACTTGACAAGGCTACCGACGCAACATACAAAACACGCCGCAACGCGCACTGGCCACTTTGGCGTGGCTTGAGTTGGATTGAATTTCCATGCAATTGTATGCTTGATGCTTCAGAGATGGCGCCAGGTGGTGTGTGCTATGATCATCAGTTGCTGGAAAGAGCAGACGACATTATTGCAGCAGTTTTCGAGGGTGCGATAATTACTCGAGGAAAAAAAGAAATCGTATTTTTGTTGGGCGATGTGAAGGGTGCGAGAATTAAGCGAGTGCGAAGATTACGCGAGTAAATACGGTAATCACATTGTGAAAAGACGATGACATCGTCCAAGTAACATAAGCAGATGGACCACTTATATCCTCGGAGAAGGGATTTCATCATGCTCTCCAAAGTTGCCGGTGCATTACATAGTCCGAACAGCATGACTTCGAACTGGTAGAGGCCGTCAGGCATAACAAAAGCGGTTTTTTCGCCATCCATGGGGTCGACAGAAATTCGCCAATAGCAGGACCGAAGGTAGATTGACGGAAAGTATTGGGCACCATGGAGGCAATCGAGGGCGTCATCAATCCGAGGCAAAGGGTGGACATCTTTACGAGTGACTTTGTTTAAATGGCGATAGTACACGCAAAAGCGCCAGCTGCCATCCTTCTCAACGAGCATGACTGGGGAGGCCCAGGGGCTGGATGATGGTTCTATGACGTCTTTAGTAATCATTTTGTCCACTTCATTCTGAATTACTTGGCTTTCTTTGTGAGATACGCGATACGGACGCCGCCGTATAGGACTGGCATCACCAGTGTTGACCCGGTAAGTCATGGCAGTTGTTTGGCCGAAAGTGTGGTGGTCAAAGTCGAAAATGTCTCTATATGATGTTAGCAGACGACGGAGGCCAGCAGCTTGCGCTGGAGGAAGATCGGGAGCAATCATCTTCTTAATGTCATCGGCAGGCAGAGTGTAATTGCGGCCAAGACAGGGGGATGTAGCATCGGTGTCCAAACCAGTAACGTTGCAGGTGTCAAGTGGATATAGGGTGGCCAAAGACATGTCTTGCGGAAAACTTCAGTCAACAGACGACGTCTCCATTCAACGCCACTCCTGCCTACCCGGAAAACTAAACGGTGCAGCGCCCGGAGGTGATGCTGCATTTTCGACTCCCCACACAAATCCTCTCTTGACGCTTCCGACCAGAAAAAGTTTGTTAGACGACGTTAATGGTGTGGCTATTTCTGCCCTTATAGACACTGGAGCGCAGATTTCTGTAAGGACCGCGAACCCTCGCCGGCGCCTACATAAAGTGCTCACGCCTGCCGCTTCCCCTACACTCAGAGTCGCTGATGGGAGGACCCCTGCTGTTCAAGGGATGTGCACAGCCCGTGTGTCCATTGCCAGTCCTCCTACATTAGTTCAGTTTGCCGTCATTGAAATGTGTCCTCATGACCTAATACTTCGCTCGGACTTCCTGTCAAGTCATTCAGCGCTCGTTGATTGTGCCACTGGTGCTCTTCAGCTTGAGCTGCCGCAGCTTGCCAATTTTCCAGCTGACCATTCTCCACATTTATGCTCTCGTCACCACGTTCGCTTGCCTCCGCAAGCTGCTACATAAGTCACTTTGTCGTGCTCACGTAATGTGCCCGATGGTGACTACCTCGTCACTCCTATAGTCGACGTACTGATGGCCCGAGACGTCGCCCTTGCTCACACTGTCGTCTCCGTCGCTGATAATACAGTGGTTATACCCCGGCACCTCCACCAAGTGTGACGGGGCGAGATCTAGGCTTATAGTAGAGCATTCACAGAGAATCGGCAGGCGAACAAGATGGCTGAGTTGCCCGAACAAGATGGCTGAGTTGCCTCTTGCGCCAGCGTCTAATGCACAGGCATCTTCGTCATCTTCACAAAGTGCCACTCTTGCTCCTGTTGATGATGAACCGTAACAATATCATGGTTTTAGAGGCTTGAAACCCCTCAGATTTATTATTTGAACAGTTCACTCCTTGGAAATGTGTCGTGCAGCCTTGAAAGTTCTCTAATGCTCTTGTCTTTGTGATTTGATTCTTCTTTAAGCACCTTTGTGGTGAAGACTAATTCGTAGCTCCTGCCATGCAAAGTCGCAGCTCCTCCTAGCACCATGTCGATGATATTGAACAGTGTATGGTGTATCCGTGTATGCGCATGCAGATGAACCCGCACGTGGGGGCTACAAGATGGTCAACGACGCACCTGTTGGCCGGGCCATCTCCAAGTTTGACTTGGCCGAAATTCTAGTCAACGCTCTTACCATGGACGAGCACATTGGACACAGTGTTGGCATCGGCTACCCGTCTGCCTGAACAAGGGCTAAACGGTGCTCCTCGTTCTTGCGAACATTCCACCTATTTTGACAGAACTACTTACCTCTCAGTATGTTTAAACACCCCTATAATTGTTTGCACCTTGGTGTCGGTGTCGGTGCTAATAATATATTGAGAGATATGTTTGTATTTGTTCATATAGCTAGTAAAATAAAGTTTATTGTGCCGCTATAGGCACAGAAGTATACTCTACTTGTGGTTATTTTTTTCAGTGTCATTTTTAACGTTGTCGTTATAAGTTGTTACAGCACGGTTGAAACTTGGGCTTGCTGGTGCATACTTTCGGTGAAGAATACCACTGGATAAATAGGAACTTGAGAAGACACAGCACCTGTGTTGTGTGTTCTCTTCTTGTGTGTCTGTCCATACAGTGCTGTTTTTCATCAAAAATAGTTGTAACAGCTCTCTTAATTTCCCGTACAGTTCAAGTTATGTGCCGTATCTTCGTACATATAACCTTCACAAAATACACGCAAAATTTGGGAAGAAAGTTGGGCTGTTAAAACACAGCTTAACAAAGTCATGACTTCACATGAAGCAGTTCGCTCAGGAACGTTTGTGAAAGCAAGAAAAATTTGTTGGTTCTTCAAAACCTAAAACTGCTTTGTGGAGACACCAAAAGCTGTCCGTGGCATTATACTTGCTGCTAATTTATGTCTGCACATGCGAAAATGTGAAAAGTCTCGGGAGGTAGCATAAACAAGAAAACTTTCATGTTTCGGGTGACGCATGGCCAGGTAGAAGTGAATGTGAAGCTTGACGGCATGCTGATGTGCAAAGGCGAAGAGAACAAAAGCAGTGATAGTGAAAGAAGACTAGGCGAAAGAGCTTAGTGGAGATGATCGGGTTCACCTGTAGACTAGATGAGGAACTAATGAAACTAACCAGTGTAGGGTTGCTTTGGGAGTACCCATTTAAACGAACCATAAACCACCGCTGATCATAGTGCCACCTTGTATGCACTGTAGTGTTTGTTATTGGAGCATAGGCATGTCATCAGAATACAGCTAAGATCATGACTGTACTATAGTGGCTAGACGTTGTAGCATGATAGCTTTAACAGGCAGGCTCAAAGAAAACCCCATCCGTATCAAAACTAAATAAAGAAATCTCTGCTGTTCTCAGCAAAATTTTCACTAAACTGGGTTTGTTGCAAAGTAAGATTTGATATTTTGAGCTTAGTACTGCAATAAGCCTAACAGATACATGTTGGGGAACCAAAACTTTCTTTGTTTCATTTGGAACTTCATAAAATCGGGTTTGGCTAAATTGAGCTTTAAAATGCAGGCATATTTTGGTGTGCAAGTTGGCTTCATGGCAATGCTGCACTGTAATGCAAGCATGCAAGACTAACAGCAATATATGGACTCTTCTTTTTTTTTCTTTGATTTTCTTTGAGGTGTGGCTTATATACAGTGTCCTGGTATATGTGAGAAAACAGGTACTGCCTTTTTAATGGAACCTCCTATTAAACCTGCGTTTTTCGTTTATTTTCGTTTGTTTTTATAAAGTAGCTTTGCCTGCGAGCACAGTGGGGTTAAACCTGCCAGTTATTATTGCGCAACTTCATATTCCTTTTATCTCTTTTTTTCCATGTTCATCTGCTTACTTTGGGTAGGTCGTCAAGCTACAGTGGGCTCACGCATAAGAATGTTTCAGTAGATCTCGGTACACTTATTACTTGCCGATATAATGGACCCTTTTCTTGATTCACAAGTTCGCTTCTCTGCACTGCATATTTGAACAAGTAATGGCGGCGCCTCTTGTGTTTGAAGCAGAGACGTGGTCCTTGTTCAATGTGCTGAGACTTGTCTATTAAGAGTGTTTATACCATTATAGGTGACTCAACATTTTCTACCTCATTGCTTAAGCTAACAGTGCTTTAACAGGCTAATTGCACTAAATGACAATCTTCCATTAGTTGTTCAAATTGTATAGCATGAAAGCTAACTGAACAATTTTCAAAAGGGTTTATTACCTGTAGTTAATTACAGTTATAATTTGTTCCGAAATTAGGAATAGTTTTCATCACAACCCTAATATCAAATGTTCAGACATGCAGTACAAAATCTCTTTACATCGTGCAGTCCCCATTTTATGGAAGCAGCGATACAGTCATAGGACTTTAAAGCTTCCAGATGGCTTCTTGAAATTTTGAAAATAATTAAGTGCACATTTTTTTGGTATCCATGAACCTACTACTCTTAATTGAACCTTCATTGTCCCATTTTATCCCCATATTTATGGCTATGCAAAATTTATTGGTCTAAACCCACTTTTCGCAACTCCTTTTCAAAGTTTCAAAATTTTTAGTGAGTCGCCCTCTCACTGTTGGGTGTGTCTGGACGTGATGCTTTGTTGGCTTGGTTTGCGAACATCAGGGAAGCTTGAAACGTGAAGAAATGGCTATTTGTGAAATCACAATATTGATGAGAACTGATAAACAATTATGCCGAGGAATGTATAGGGGAGTGATTAAAAGAAGTTGTAATGGAAAAGAAAGAAAAACGGACGGAAAAATAACTTGCCGAACCATGGACCGAACCTGCGAGCATAAACCGAACCTGCGACCTTCGTGGACAGGGGGATAGATGCAGTGGTAGCTCAGCTGGTAGAGCATTGGATCCGTTATTTGAAGGTCGCAGGTTCGGTCTCTGCTCACAGTAAGTTCTCTTTTCGTTCACTTTTCTTCATTCACAATTACATTACGATATTACTTCTCATAACTTCTTCTACACCTTCCTTGGCATGATTGTCTGTCAGTCCTCATCAATCTTGTGCCTAACAAAAAAAATGTGCCCTTAAATTTACCTTTTCTTCTCCAATTGTGATGTGAGGGTGACAGATAGGCAGGGAAAAGGAATACAACTTTGTTTACTGCTGACAGAAGTGAGCTAGGCTGGTGTGAGTGGACGAAAACAGTGATCGAGTCATGTTTTGATCTATTGGAGACGCAACAGCATGCACCTCTGCACTAAATGGGCTGTAGCAGACGCACCAACAGAGTAATAAAAACAAAACAAAAATACTCTCAACTTTTGGCAGATTAGCGCACCTCCATAGTACCCATAATCGCATTGTCATTTAGCCTGAACCAGTAGCACGTGGAGTGACCATGCACCACAGTAAAGACAGGCGGGTGCGACCACAAAGTACTCTTTGATACATGTACCAAAACAGCAAGGGGCGAAAATAAGTGCTTCTAGAAAGATAAGGTAGGTGACACAACTATATAATCACTATAAATCATGCCAGCTTTGCACTTCGGCACAATTTTTAAATTTTCTCTCGTATATGTTTGACATATGGGGACATTCAGATGGATTAGTTCGCTCGTATTTGAATGGTGCATTTAACGTTACTTCTTGAGCTATGAGCGGAAGTACGATTTCAGTGGGTATATGCTGTAACCTTTGTGCATCTTTAAAGGGGCCCTGCAACACTTTTTGAGCATGGTCAGAAAGCTGCCAATCGGTAGTAGAGGCTCCCGACAATACGCGAGCCAAATATAGCGGAGCACGCGGCCTGGAATTAACAATAAATTACCAAAGTCGGCTAACAATGTCTTTCTCTTCATTCGACAAATGACGGAAGGTCCTCAAAAATCACTTGTAGAAAGCCCATCTATCAGCCATTGGCCGATTTGAACATGGCACACTCGGTCGTAACAGAGATCGCTGTGGGAGACCGCGACTTGTCCACGCTTGTGCGTGCGATCACGCTGGAAAAGCCGCATAATCAAAGATAAGAGTTCTCAAGGTCACGTGGCACGCGTGACATATGTTCTTTGCCCCTGCCATCTCTCCCTGCTTAGCTTCCAGCGCTTTCGTCGGGTCAAGAGCAGAGAGAAGGCAATTGCAGCATGCAACAAATTCTAGTGACTCCACTCGCACTGGACGGATTCTTAAAATTTTTCCGGCGTTGAATTCGTGAGGCAATGAGCTCTTCCAGTGAATTCGTTTTATGGTTACTTGAAAAAGTGTTTCAAGGCCCCTTTAAGTATAGAAATGCTGAGGGGATGCTGAGATGTGGCTTTTAAGCATACTCTGCAGAACAGCAGTTTTTGAAGACTTGGATGCACAATACGAAAAAAAAAAATAGTTTGTCAATCATTCATTCATGATGGCATTGCACTTCACATTACACAGCAATGTGCCAAGCATATAATTTCTTACAGTGATGCACAGAGTAAAATGTGGTGCCACCGCCTATGGAAATTTCTTAAGGTGCACAGTGCCGTCAAGGTGATGACTGTATGTGTCTCTAAAATATTACTGTCTGTAAAACAAACTATGCATCTGTGAAGAATTATTTATGTAAAAAGAAATTCAGTCACTCCTATTATATTTTTGGAATAAAAGTTCTCAGCTCTACGGCATTACCATATGCTAAACGAAGACAGCAGACTACGAACTTTCCCCGAGTGAGAGCTGACCTTTTCGTCAATCTTCAAACTGTTGTGGCCGTTCGCTAATTTTTACATTTTCATTAAAATGTATACTAAGGCAGACATTATCAAAGCAAAATGATACTGGTTTCTGTGTAATGCTTAGAAAGAACTAGCTTACTACATCTTGCTTCAGTACAAAATTTACCATTTTGATGCAAGGGATGTGTTGAAGCAAGCCATCAAGACATGTCTCCAAGGTGTCCAGGCTCCTCATGAACAATGCCAGTCCACATCTGGCACATCTTGGCATTTTCATGGCTACAAAAGGGTTGCGATTGTCAGCTTTTGCTCTAGATATATGTATGTAATTTTATGTGGTACCTTTAAGTAGGTTCTTCTTGAGATACCTTTATCGACAACAACAGTCTAATTTGTGCCTTACCGCATGTCATAACCCAACACCCATGTATACAGTCGAACCCCTTAATAAGATTGATTTGTGGGGTTTAACGTCCCAAAACCACCATATTGTCACGGGGTCGTGACGTGGCCAAAGACAGAAAACTTCGTGTTGGGATTTAACTGTTTATTTGGGCGAACCTGTGCCCGGTAAAGGGAAAGTCTAATTACAGCAGCAGTCTTGCACAGATAGCAGTCTCGGACTGATAGCGGCGAACGCAGCGTCGGCCTTCGATCAACAACTGACAAGCGGCGAAGCGCGTGGGCATTTATACCCTTGCCGTCGAATGTTCTAGCGTTATCGCTGGCGGTGGCGTGGGTTCCAGAACAATCTGTACCGTTC